TGAGGTGCTGTAGATACCAGGGGTTACTGAGGTGAGGTGCTGTAGATACCAGGGGTTACTGAGGTGAGGTGCTGTAGATACCAGGGGTTACTGACGTGAGGTGCTGTAGATACCAGGGGTTACTGACGTGAGGTGCTGTAGATACCAGGGGTTACTGACGTGAGGTGCTGTAGATATGAGGGGCTACTGAGGTGAGCTGCTGTAGATATTTTTCTCAGCTGATCAATATATGTTTTTATGAGTGAATGAATAAATGGATGAATAAATGAATGGGTGAAAAAATAAATGCATGAATGCATTTACAAGTGTATCGAAGAAAGAGATATTAAGAGAATGAATGAAATAATGAATAAATAAATAACCATCAGTTGTGTTTTTAGAATGATGCTGAAGCTGCTATCAACATGGTCCAGTTTGCTTACTTCCACAAGGTTGGCTATCTGATCACTCTTAAAGTGCATATTTTTATGACACGAAAACAATTTAATGTTGAAAATGTATAGTTTATTGGTACTAATAAGAATATCATGGTTAAATTTGTTTCAAAAACACATTTCTCTAGAAATTTCAAAAAATTTAGCACAAGTTGTGATGTCATTTTGTTTACAAGTCTCCAGATTTAGTTGCAAATACACGAAGTATGTTTGAATGTAGAATCTTAATTTCAGGTAGTATACTTTTCAGTTTACCAACATTTGAAGAGTACTACGTAAAAAATAAATAGATTATGTTTTTTGTTGTTAATTTAAACGAATTACCACAATTTATATTTAGTGTATTACTACCAAATCTAGAGTATGTGTCAACAAAATGACGTCACAAATTGGGCTTAATTTTCTCACATATCTCAAGAAATAAGCTTTTGGAACAAATTTCATTACGATATACATATTATTACTAACAATCTATACATTTTAAGCAATTAATTTTTTTTGTGTCATATACACTTTAAAATACGAACAAAACAAATCACACTTTTCTTCATTCGATTCAACATATTTGTTGTTTCCCAGCTCCTGTAAGTATTGCATTTTGGAAGAGTCTAATGGGAGGGAGCACTGAACCCTTATTGAAGGCATGGATAGGATATTAGAGGCTTCATAGAGACCCCTTATATAAATTATGTTGTTGTGTAAATGCTTATAAAAACAACAGTAAATACAGGGTCTGGAAGGGTATTTGCGGAAGCTGGACAATGGATAAAATATAGCTTGGGTTCTGTGAAATTAGAACAAAATCTTACGTGATTCAGAATATTGGCATCAGTCATGACTTGGGAATTGCTTAACTCACTTGCTGAGATGCAGAATTTAATTGCTTTCGGATTTTTGGGAAAATTTTGGAAATATTAATAAATGTCGTAGGATTCCAGGAAAAGTAGCACTTAGTTGAGATCCGGAACCTCCCTTCCAGACCTTATCATAACATTTCTTCTCCAATTCAACATACCAATAATAATTAGACCTGTGAGTTTGCCATACTCTGACTTACTCACTTAGGTCAACCTAAAATCATTTCAGGGTTTGATAAAGTAGGCCTCTTTAGCTTGGGTGTATTCATTAATAATTCTGTATTCCCTTTAGCTCCACCAACCTCATGAAATAGGTACAATGTAACTGCTCACAAGTCACTGGGGGTGAAAGCACCACTAATTCAAAGTTTGAGTTCCCAAACGGAGAACAGCACAGTGAGAGAATTGCAACAACAAAACTAATTTTTATTTCCAAATTTAGTGCACTCGTTGAGACTTATTGCATGTGGTCTCCACATCCCATAATATCTGGTTCCACAGGGAACCCATAGCTGAGGATAGGCAGTTATTACGATACAATAGTTTTTAATTTTTATTTGAAAAGTGCATTGACCTTGAGCTATCTAACACATCCCTGACTGATGATTAAGAGAGAATTCTTTACGTATTCAAGCAGTGAGTGTCAAAAACTATTTTCTTGAAGAAAGGCTGTTGTACAAGGCTAAAATCTTGTTATTCAGAAAGTTTAACTTGTTTGGAAGTGGAGATGACCGACAAAAGTGGAATCAAAGTGCTAACCCAAACCAAAAAAATTGAATCGAAAATGAGGTTTAGGCCTTCATTTGGTTATTTCCCATATATTTTCTATAAAAAAGCCTGACAAAGCAACATTCTAACACAAATGCAACAAAACATCTTTGTACAATTGAAAATACCGCTTCAAACAAGCATTTTATCATAGTACATCAGTTTGTAACTGTTTAAAAAAGGTTTTGAGTGTTAACCCAAAACGAAAATTGGGATCAAAACTCATACAAAGGTCTAGTTTTTGGCACTTTTTGCCATTATTGCTCGTTATTGAAAAAAATTTCCTCTTAATGTTTAACRCAGGTGGAGAGAAAAGTAAGCAAGAGGAAGCAGCAGTCAGACACAGAAGAGAGCGGCACAGAGGGAGAAGACACAGGGGATGAGGGAACACAGAGAAAGACCAAAAAGACATCGAAGACACCTAAGAAAGCAAAGAAGCAGAAGGTCCCTAAGAAGAAAGAAGGAGAAGAAGGCTATGATCCATTTGATTTTGATAGTGATGAAGAAGAGGGACAAGAGGGTTGGTATTTCATTTATGCTTGATGACGTCCTCTTAAGCTACGGACACACGATGCAACATTGCACACAATGTTGCATGCAATTGATGTTGGAAGCCATGACACACAACGCATTTTGGTGCTCACAACGTTGTTGAATTAGAAAACTATCCTACTTCAGCAGCATTGCCTGCAATGTTGCACGCAATGTTGCACCATGACATTGTGTCTGGGCCTTTACAACAAGTATAAGAATCCTGTTCTTGGTATTCTTCTTACTGGTATCCATCCTCCCTTCCTTTTCTTCCTTCCTTCCTTTTTTTGTCTTCCTTCTTCCTGTCTTCCTTGCTTGCTTCCTTGCTTGCTTCCTTGCTTCCTTGCTTGCTTGCTTGCTTGCTTGCTTGCTTCCTTCCTTCCTTTCTTCCC